CTTCTTGAATCCTTCCCTCGTATTTTTTCGAGCGAGTTCAACATCAAAAACTATTGTAATTTTTCTCATTTTTTCCCATCTGCTATGCAGACTTTGTCATCGTTATTTGCGGGAAGAAGCATGCGGAGTTCCAAATCCGATAGCAAATCGTCAATATCAAAGTTCGTCAAAGGAATAATGTCAAAAGTATTTTGAGCTATAAACAAATCGTCGTCACTGTTCGACATCGTTTCCAGAATGACTGTTAAGAATATTTGATAACAATATTCAAATTTCGATTGCTCGCTTTCGCATGAACAGGTTTTCTTAAAGGAAACTAATTTCAACAGTCCATGAAAAAGTCTCAAGAGAAGAGGATTCTATTGTTAGAAACCCAACTAAGAAAACATTCATTTAGACTATTCAGTTTTTGCGGAAACCACGTGAATTGAAAACTAGAGTTTGTTAGTTACCTCGCTCGTCGGCATTACGCTATATAGGCTGTAATGCCTCCGTTCTCGGTAACTAACTCTTACTTAATAACCAACTAATTTTAACCAGTCTCCAGACCAACCGGCCAGTCATGTTGCTAGTTCTCGGTAAAAATAAATGAAGGTAAATTGTGAACGTGTCTTTGGCTTCTTCACGAGTCACACTAGCCTCTGAAGCATCCTTTTACGGTAGTTCGCTAACGCTCCACTAGTGTCTGCGCACAGAGGCCAGATTTCATGCTCCATGACGTAAWTTATTGTTTACAGTCTGACCAATGAGTGTGCGCGATATATAACACTCGAGGTTTTCGCTAAGAAGTTTTCGCGGGTTTCTCGACACAAGAACACCGAAACAAATGATCAATACTAAACAGTGTTTCTTGTATAAAAACGAAGTGAGTTTCAGCGATAAAATTGTTTTTTGGCAGAAGTTGCTGTCAACATCGATTTTTTCCAGTGTGGCCAGACTACGTTCCAAACACTATTCYCCATGTAATGGCGACTTGACAGGCATCACAAATCCTATTGCCTGCAGGAGCCTCGGCATTGTCGGCAACTGCCATAGCCACATGACTATCTCGCAGTGTTAAAGTCATTCTCGTATCCAGATAATTAACAGTTTTCCAAAGGAAAAACGAAGATTATAGTTGGAGACGATACCAGAAGACCCAGAATCTGGGTCGTACTACATATGCATACTGATGGCACATTGGAATRTTTAAACCAATCAAATCAATGAGTCATTCGTCTCCAACCCGAGCCTTCGATTTTCAGTTGTGAAAGTGAGAAGGATCTGGGTATGAGAATGTGGGAGTCAACCCATGGATGGTGTAGGCCTGGAAAGCCGAACCTTTTGCTCTTGATTTATGCTTCTGTATATGTTGTAGTCAGTGAACCTCCCTTAGTGAACATTCACAAACAACATGACGAGAGCGAAAAAATACAATATCCACTCTTGATGACATTGTTATACCGCACCTCATGACACCTCGTGGTTTGTCTCTTCGAG